GAGTAACGTTCGACAGCCTTTTCAAGTCGTCCGCGCATGCCACTGCTTTATGCGATAAGCTGAGAAGTAGGAACAAGGTCCTCAAGTCGCTAGCCGGCAGCACTTGGGGCGCTGACAAAGAAACCTTGTTGACCTCTTATAAAGCAATAGGCCGGTCAGTGGTAAGCTATGCGGCGCCAGTGTGGTTCGCGAATGTCAGTGATACGCAGTGGAAGAATATTCAGACCTGCCAGAACGCTGCCCTGAGAACTGCAACAGGGTGTCTCCTCATGACTCCAGTGGACCATCTTCATGAGGAGACGAAGATCTTACCCGTCCATCGTCACAACTATATGTTGTCGATGCAGTACCTGCTTGGGTGTTATCGTCAGGAACATCCCTGCCATAGCCTTATGGACAGGACTCCCCCACCCGGCACGTCAGGAAAGATCTTCATGATCTAGAGAGAGAGGTCCAAAGGTACAAGCGTGAACCCCTAGATCAAGAGGCCTATCAAGCAGGTCTGAATGGTAATCACACGGATGCAGTCGCTCAAGCAGTAGAGCAATATAGAGTGAATACCATAATTGGAGACCACCCCCCATCCATAGCAGCTGAGGAGAAGCAGCTGCCAAGGCAAACACGAGTAGTCTTAGCTCAACTAAGATCAGGATGGTGCAACCGCCTCAATTCATATTGGGCAAGAATTGACGGATCGATACCTAACACATGTCCGGCATGTGGACTAGAACCACACGACACGTTGCACCTCTTCAATTGCCCAGCTAAGCCTACTCACCTATCGCCAAATTCTCTTTGGGCGCAGCCCGCTGAAGTTGCAGCTTTCCTGAATTTGGAGGTAGAGGATGCAGAACCAGACGATGCATGACAAAACAACATGTATTCTGTTGCTACAATAACAACAAAAAAACAACAACCACACTTTGCAATTTTTTTCTTCTATTTTAAATCTTCAATTATATATATGTGTAAAGATACAAAACTTAACATGCATTGGGGGAGGTCCTCCAAAAATAAAAACTATTTGAGGAGTTTTATTTTTTTCCGTCAAAAATAAAAATCATTTCAGGAGTTTTATTTTTTCCGTCAGAAAATAAAACTCTTTTTACGCATATTGTTTGTGAAAGAACATTTGTTCCGTAAGCCGAGCATAAAGAAGATTTCCAGTCGCGTCGGTCTTTTAATCAGTACTTCCAATTTGAAAGACCATATTCGGCAATGTTGTCTTCCACTTGATCTTCCCAACTAATTCGTGGCCATCACCTTCTGCCTGAACCATCAGTAGGTTCGATTATGGTATGCCATTTGAGCTCGTGCATCTTCGGCCAATATATCTTCCGGAGAATTTTTCTCTCAAATACACCAAGAGCTGCCTCATCTGCTTGCGCTAGTATCCGTGCTTAAGATCCATACAACAGCACGGGTAGTATCAGCATCTTGTAGAGTGTGTGTTTGGTCTGGTGAGACGTGGCCTTGTTTCTGAATTGCTTACTTAGATCATAATGGCATCTGTTGGCCAACACGATTCTCCCCAGAATTTCAATCCTAGTTCGGTATTTAAAGGCTCCGAGAGGTGCTTTCCTACTTGAATTGTTGACATTGTACCAGTTAAAGTTATCCTGCATAGCCGTATTAATTTTGCAGGAATGTAAAACGCAGACATGACTTTAAACACCTTTGAACGGATAGGTAGCTGTCGAATGCGGCTTTATAGTCGATGAATAGGTGGAATGTTTCGATGTGTTTTTCAAGATTTGGCGCAGATGGGAAATCTGATCAATGTTGTATTTTCCAGGCCTGAAGCCGCATTGGTATGGTCCAATAATGTTATTGACCATTGGCTTTAGTCGTCCACACAGCACGCTAACATCCGAGTTCATACATACCTATAATTGGTATAAATTAAAAGGTTTACCAAGGTCCATTAAATATTAATAGATCGTTATCAAAACGAATAGATGTCCGTAACCGAATCTATATGCAACATTTCGTATGTATTGTATTTTGTTTACAAATTTACAGATGGACGGACTGACACACATAGATCGACTCAGATAGAGAAGATATGACGATCGGTATACTAAACCAGTAAGGAAAGTAGAAAAGTCGGACTGGACCGACTATATGATACCCTTCACCACTTTGGGTATATTCTACATATGTATCCTAACAGACGTCGCCTTTTTGAAGGAACATTAACATTAAATTGATCGAACTTAAATATGTGATCTTTATCTATATCTAAACCGACTAACACCAATCCCTACACATTTAAAGCAAACTTGGCACACGCTATTTGGTATAATGCACGGCTTAAAATTTAGACATCAATAGATTACTTGGTGTACAATTAACATGAATAGATCGAAATTATATATGGAAGCTATGCTATATCTATATCTGAACCGATTTCAAGGAAACTTGCCAGAAATTAATTTATATTAACTGCAGTACGTTGTGTCAAGAGGCGTAGCTATGGATCTTTAGTGCACCATTTACTTAAAATCGGACGAAAATATATATATATATATATATATATGAGGTGTATGTAAATCTAAACAGATTTTCACGAAACTTAGCATACATCATTCCAGACTTAATTTAGTTCGCTATACCAAAATTCTTGCAAATCGAAATATAAATAGCGACTTTAGTGCACCAATTACCATAAATCGGACGAAAATATATTTATGAGCTATATATAAATCTGAACCGATTTTCATGAAACTTAACACACATTATTATAGACGCAATTCAGTACAATATGCCAATTTTCGTGCAAATCAAAAGATATATGGGACTTTAGTGCACCATTTACATAAGATCGGATGAAAATATATATGGGAAAAATAGGTTGAGATTTAGATATAAATCTCAACCGATTTTTCCAAATATGGTTCATCCTTGGGCAAAATGAATGAGCTGTGCCAAATTTCATCCAAGTAGAATCAAAAATGCGACCTGTACTTTGTTTACAATTTAACATCAACAGACGGACGGACGGACATGCATAAATCGACTCATTCTATGATTATTCTTAAAAGGAACCATAGGTCTATCTCGATTCCTTTTACCTGTTACAAACATATTCAAAAAGACATAATACCCTGTACCATAGTGTGGTAAAGGGTATAAAAATTGATGCGGAACCAATATTTCCTGATTTTGTAAAATTTTAGGGCCATACAAATTTATAATACCCTTACAAGGTAGTTGTGTAGGGTGTAACCGTTATATCATGGCTATCCTGAACAGACGACACGCATAAATCGACATCGAGTTTTTTCTGATCAAGAATATTACTCTTATGAGGGTATAAACATATTGAAATTACATTTGACAAATCTGAAGTCGTCATGAAGCACATTGTCGAATCCCTATACAAGAATCAATTTAAAAATTCGAGCTGTGGGTATCGACTGACTGAAAATATTGCTGCTGTAGTGCGAAGTATTGAAGAAGACCCAGGATTGTGCCGTTATTTGAAATTCGATATCCCATAAACTTATATTAAATCGTATTTCTATGATTTTCATAGAGGATTGGCGAAACCAAGTGCAATTGTTAAGAAGCTTCTCCATACTAAATATTTGACTATTTTGCATAGTTTATAGTCCGGCGGCGTTATTAGACCTTACTTTTTTGAAAATGACTACATGCTACGCAACGAAATCATTGCTCCTCTTCTGACCATCGAGATGTTCTGATTAGCCACTTTTCCATTCTTGATTTAGCACAACGTAAAATGTACGGTCGTGAGAACATAGGGCAGCAACTTTGTGAATTAGTTGTGGAACATTTGAGTCGTTTATTTTGAAAGTGGTTCAAGGCAATTTTTTATTGTACTGAGGTATTTAAGGGTTTGTCTTTGATTTGTATCAAAAATATTGTTAATAGTAATCCAAGATGTGTACAAAAATCTAAAATGGACTTAAACCACTTTCAAAATAAAAAAAGTTTATGGTTCTGTTATCATGAATATCTCATTGCTTATTAAGGGAATACCTTATTATTTATTATTATAAAATAAAATGCTGGCAATTTATATAAACTATTTATATTTTTCATTGAATACGAACATAATACCTCATAATGGAAAATGTTTTTTAAGATTAAGCACAGTTAACGCAATAGAATCTTATAGGACGTGTGTAAAATTTGCTAAAAATCCGTCCAAATATACATATAGCACCCATTAACCTTGAAAAATTGTATAGAAAAATTTAAAATTCTTTTCAAAATATATATGTATATTTTTGGCTCCCAACAGCTTTGTTTCATATGTATTCAAATTGTTGTTTCTTTTTCCTTGTATAAACAACTGCGTAGACCATTATATTTCGGTGTCAATTGATGCATTTTAAAGAAATTTTATTTTCCCTTATGTTGCACCTGAACTGGGTATATCCATTTGACAGACTTTCCATTTGTTTGTTACATGACACAGATAAAAGCTGTTTGAAATTCATTGCAACAAATTATTTATTTTTATTTGATTGTAAAATAAAGTAGTGCAAAAATTTGAGTCATATGTTACGCATTCATAATTGCAATTGGTGGGACAATTTACTTTGATATAAAAATACAAAACATTATTTTCAAAGGTATCAGTTTCGAATTTAACGTTAAAGAGGTGGAAATATTTTTTAAGCATTTTACTTTAGTATATTTAACAATGAAAGTAAGGATTGTAATATAGATTTATTTTTTAAAAATCTCATGGACGTATTTTATTCTCCAGGTATTCACATGCATTTTGGCACTGGCCGTAGCTTCTGTTCAAGGTGGATTCTGGCCTCAAGCTGATCAGGCTGTGGTTCATCATGGCGGTGATATTCATCATGGGCTTGTTGTGGACACCCATCACGTTGAACAACATCCCGTTTATCATCATGCCGAACAGACTGCCATTGCAGATATTGGTTTTGTCGACAACCATCATGGTGTAGTTGCCGAGGATGTACGCAACGTGCCCGCTGTCAAGGTCATTCAACATGAACCTATTCATCAAGTTGAACCCGTTCATCATGTCACCAAAGTCCTTCACCATGAACCTCATCATTTCTTGCACTACACCAATCCGGTGGTCGATCATCATGTCATCCACAACAATCACCACATTGATGAACATCATCATGCTGCCGATTTGCATCACAGTGAATTACATCACGGTGATGTGGCTCATAATGGCGAAGTTGTACATCACGGTGATGTTCATCATGCTGCTGTCCTACATCATGGAGATGTTTTGCACCATGATGGTATTTTGGATCATGCTGGTATTGTTCATCATGCTGATGTTAATAATCACGCTGCTGTTGTTTACCATGCCGATATTCACAAACATTCGGCTATTGTTCATCACGTTAAGCCTACCTATCATCACAGTGATGCCGTAGTTACAAAAATTTATCCCTCGAAAGTTTATGGCCATTTCGCAAAAGATTTTGGCAAAGTTAAAGTAATTAAAAAACTTTATTGAAAAACATAAAACAATAATTGAAAATGCCATAGTTATTAGAATATTGTGTAAATTATGTAATACCTGTAAATTTCTTGAATTAATATTGACATTTCATTATCTTTCACATGACTCAGTTTAAAAACTGTACTTATAGTTTTACATTATCCACACGAAATAAAGAAAATACGTTTTAAATAAGTAAGAAAGGTCGAGCCGAAGTTTTTGAACATTCCACCAAAGGAATATCGAAAAATAAGTCAATTATGATATTGAGTAAATGGTTTTTAGTGCAAAATGTTATACTTTCATGAAAAGAAAATCCAGGGATATACAACATAACTGTCAGGATGTCAAAAAAGAGTAAGGAAACAACAAATGTCGGACGGAGTCGATTATCATCACTTTGGATATATACAAGAAATGCTCTTACAATTCATATTGCAATCTACAGTAAAATATTGATCTATTTAAATCAAACATAACAAAGGTCATCCCAAATTTAATCTTAAGGGGACCCCCAACCATTCTCGGCGTCAATTTTTTTTTTTTTTTTGATTTAAGTCGAATCTATACTAATTCAAGAATGTTCCTACAAAATTTAAAGTGAAAATCTCAAGAACTGTTGAAAATATAGCCGATTTATTGTGTCAGCATCAAGTGACGGCTCAAGGGCTTCTCAAACTTTAAACGCGTTTTTCTCTTTTGCGAATGGCGGGCACGATAACTCAAAGACTAATAATCCGATCGGTTCCAAATTTACACGTTTCTCTGTGAGTGTATAGCTATCGTATGAACTAGGATAAAGCCAATCGGTGAAGATCTTCCTTATTTTTTAACTAGGTTTTTGGTCAAAAATCGGCAACTTTCCAAAAATATTTTTTCAAAGGTCCGTCATTTTGTTAATTTTAGTCAATAATCCTAGTTCATACGAGAGCCAGTCATGTACTCTTTCTAACACCGTTGGAATTTTCGGATTCCGTTGTTCCAGTGAGGAGTTATCATGCCCGCCATCAAAAATAAGGAGCTTTCTTTAATTACAAAAAACAACAACAAAACAATAACAAAAATTTTTTGCAAATTATTTTTCTTCTCTTTTAAGTCTTCAAATATATATGTGCAAAGTTACAAACCTTAACAAGCATTGGTGTTGATTTACCAGCCCATTGAAAATCTTGAAAAATTAAAATCGAGAATGGGTGGGGTTCCCTTAATTCTGTACAGACAAATTTTGGATCATTCGTATCGAAAATATGTGGGAATTACATCTTAATCAGAACAGACACCATCGTTAAGGCTGGATTTGGGAAAATTCGTACTATAAGTCTACGAAAGTTACTAAAACCGAATATCGGGGAGTTTCAGGGTAGCCCTCTGTCCAAATTCCCTAGTATACCGAATACTGGGGGCTACCCTGAAACTACGGATATGTGCAATTCAATGACAACCCAAAACACCAAATTACAACCAATTCGGTTGGAAAACGTGTCCAGTATATCGAATATTGGTATATGGGACTACACCAAAACGTGGACCGATATATCCCATTTGCAATACCAAAGATCCTAGGAGTAATAGCAATGCCTGTGCAAAATTTCAGTATTCTCTGCGATCTCTATCTTGATCTTTAGTCCGAAGGTAGGATTGGACACTACTTCTTCGAAAACGTCTATGGATCAACTGTCACCGTCAATTCGGAGCTGTATAGTCATATTATAACTATGCTATTGAAGAATATGACTAAGAGAATATTGGGTTGCAACAAGAAGGTGTCGCATGACATGTTATGGTGATGTATTTCCCAACATAAAGGGCCTAATTAAGGAGTTCAGCGCACCATTTACATAAATTCGGACACGGATATATATATATATATATATTCATAGAACACACGTCAATATAGACTCAATTTGATACGCTATGAAAAATTGCGTGCACATCGAGCTTTACAAAATTGCATCCAATTCTGATCATAAATGCGACTTGTACTTTGCTGAAGGAGAATACATGGACGGACGGATAAATCAATTCAGAAAGTGATTCTATGCATATTCCAAAAATGAACTATGAATATGTCTCTTTGCATTTTACTTGTTACAAACATGTGCATAAAGACATAATACACTACTACACAGTCAAAGGTGGCACAGCATGTATCTTTGGCGACGAGCCAAATACAATGAAAACCAGTGAGCGGAGCAGTATAGACGGACAGAGCCGACTATATGATACCCTACACAACTACCACGGAACTCTAACTTTCTGCGGTTCTATATGCTGAAACTGAGCAATATTTCGTGATATTTGCACCCCCTTGATCGATTATAGGTCAGCTGCTCCACTTTCTAACCCTGGCATATTTTCCATTTTTGTCTTGAAGTGAATTTTTACGCCATAAAATAAAAAACTGGTCACTTTAGGCCAGTCGTCCTTGACCATAGTCGGAATTTCCTTTACAATTTCACAGCGATCAGCGCGACATTTCCGTCCTCACTGGAGTAATAGCACATCCGACAATATAATTGGTATCAATTTAAAGGATATACTATCAACTTCTCGGGTCTATGTTCGTCAGGAGTAAATACATACGCTATAGAATACAAATTTTGTAATTTCTCACACAGAAGTCAGGGTCAATTTGACCCGCTAAATATTGACTGATCTTTATCAAAACAGGCATTCTTATTCTTTGGTCCAATCCCATTCTCCATGCAAAAATTCGCGATGTTTGATCCATAATTGCGGCCTTTGGAGCGATCAAAAAATAAGTATTTGGTCCATTTCATCCCCTAGATATTAACCGATCCTTTCCAAAAACAATAGGGGTCTTCATTGGCCAGAACCCATCCTACATGTAAAATTTCGTGAAGGTTGATCCATAACTGTGGCCTGTATCGTGTTTACAATTTATAATGGACAGACGGACGGACGGACACACATGTCTAGATCGATTCAGCTAGTCGAGATATGACGATCGGTATACTTAAAGGTGGGTCTAGGACCAATATTTCGCGGCGTTACAAACTTTTGGGGCTGCACAAAGCTATAATACCCTGACAACATAGTTGTGAAGGGTATAATTATTAGGTGAAAATTTCAAAAATTAATGAAAATTGTTAGTTGTAATGGTCGTCTTTTTCTTAGCCAATACTTTTCATTTGTCGACCTTCGACTAGACGACTTTTTGTGTTGAAAAATCTAAAAGTCGAAACTGACTTTTGATTTCTGATGTAGACTTAAGACTTTTCAAGATCGACTTTCGATTTCCAGCATAAATACTTGGTTTATTACCCTTTGGTTTATTAACCAAATTGCCCTAAATTGTTGACAACAATTCATATAAAAGTATCGAATTTTTTGTCGATTTTGTATTAGTCGGTAAAAGTCAAAATCGATTTTGAAAAGGCTTGACAAATTCGAAAGACAGAAAAATCGATTTTTTAGTCAAAGGCAAAAGTCGAAAAGTCTACAAATCGACTTTTTCGTCTGAGTCGAGCACAAAAGTCTAAAAGTCGACTTTTGCGCTCGGCTATGTATCCCAAATGGCGACTGTTCTGTTTGAGCATCGTAGTACGGTCAATTCTTAATTACCATCTTTCTTCAAATTAAATCCATCTTGACCGATCGAAACATGGCGCCCAACAACTTCTTATTCACGCACATCATTCAGAAATGCGTTGTCAATAATTTATGTCAGGATGCTGTTGAGGAGTTCAAAAACCATTGTTTGTAGATGTCTCTATCGGAGTGAAAAAAGTGTTTCGACAATGGGTTTAAGCGCATGTAGGAAAAAAATATTCAAAATTTGTATTATTGTTTCAGAATTACATATGTATATTGGTGCCATCGAATTGACTCAGAATGCAATTTTGTGTCATCGCAGCAACAATATGCAATGCATCTCATATAATCACTAATATTAATAAGATAAAGTAAACGAATACATAATTTTGTTTTTTAAATATTTTCTTTTAAATAAAATTTATTATGAACTTTGTAACATGGCATCACTAAATCTCTATCCTATAGAATTGAATGGCGGGATTTGATTGAAAAACGTGATGAATGATTTTTTTAAATAATTTACAATAATGAAATTAAAAACATGGAAATGTGTTGTTTTGGTTATATGCGTATGAAATGCATTGAGCAACTCTTTGGCCTAGTAAAACTTCTTAAGAACCTTAACTTTGGGAATTTTGCTAATGAAATGACCATGGAATTTCGAGGGATACACTTTGCGTACAACAACACCACCATGGCTGTGATGATGGTAGACGGGTTTAACGTGATGTACCAGAGCAGCATGTTCATGTACGTTGGCATGATAGACAACAGCGGCATGATTATCATGACCGTGATGATGGAGGTCATCGTGATGGTGAACATCGGTATGATGGACACCAGTGTGGTGGAGACCAGCATGATGGAGGACATCGGCATGGTGGACACCGGCATGATGAACATCAACACCGTGATGGAGGACATCAGCATGGTGGATATCAGCACCGTGGTGGAGAACATCGGCATGATGGACATCAGCATGGTGAACAAAATCACCGTGATGAGCAACATCGGCGTGGTGTACAAAATCTCCATGGTGGGCAACATCTCCCTGGTGCAATTCAGTGTGGTGCAAATCGGCGGCATGATGGTGTTCATCGATGTGATGGTTTTGGTGCACAACATGATGATCGACAACGGGATTGGTGTAGTGCAAGAAGTGGTGAGGTTCGTGATGGACAACATTGGTTACATGATGGACGGGCTCAACATGATGAATGGGTTCGTGTTGGATGACTTGGTCGGCGGGGGAATTTTGAACGTCAGCAGCAGCAACACCATGATGACCAGCATCGTTGGTTACAACATCCAAAGTGGCGTGATGATCAGCGTGATGGTAGACGGGGTGTTGTTCAACGGCATGGTGATCCACGACGGCATGATGATCCAAGGCGTGATGATCTACAACGGCATGGTGGTCCAAGGCGTGGTGATCAACAACGGTGTGGTGGTCCAGACCATGATGATCAACGACAGCATGGTGGTCGACAGTGTGATGAGTATCAACGGGAAGATCATATGAATAACCAACTTGAATGCCATTGTTGTGGTGAATATCACCGTGGAATAAATCGGCACCGGTGTGTACAACACCATGATCTACAATGTGACCATCACCGAAGTGAGGCAAAAGACCGGCATGGGCCGAAGCCACTGCAAGAGCTAACACACAAGCAAATACCTAAAGGAATTAGAAGAATGCTTAGTAATTATTAAAATCCTTTAAAACGAACTTCGAATATTTGTCCATACCTTCATTATAAAAATTACACTTTTAGTTCCCAAATAAACTAAACTTTTTCGATTTCTATGCTTTGTTTGATGTTAAGCACTTGACTGATACTCAATTCGTCAAATCATTGCATTTAAATACCCCAAAAATTGCGTTTGACATTTTTGGTCAATATCTGTGGTCAGGATAGCTGATTCAAATTTCAATTGACTCCCATGGGCCGGCCGATTCGTTAGAAATTTCAATGAATGAAGTAAGCAAATCATAAAAGTGACCCAAATGCATAACTTCGATACGCATGCGATAGATGGTCGATTGAATGGGAGTGATAATTGTCGATAGCCAGACAGGTGGTGGTACGGGTAGTGGGTGTAGTTGAAATCGTAGTTATTAGAGCTGCGTATGTGCGTAGCATAATATTTATGTGTGTGGCTGCCAATTGATGTTTGATGTGACATGGAAATGTAATTATGGTCTAGTTTCGACACTTTCAAGGTCATTTACGATAAAATAAACGGTAATCCATTCATGAAAATACGAATAAAAGACTGATAAATTATTTCCGGCGCCTATGTAGAATATGAATTTCTATGAAATAACAGATTGTCTAAGGGGTGAAACGATAACATATCTTCCACTGTGGAATCTTAAATTTGTTTAAGTGTAAATACACTAACAATGCTACCAGACGGGATATTACATGGGCGTTTTACGTACGAAATTTAGTCTAATCGTGTGGCATGTGTTTTTTAAGATCAATAAATCACTTAAAAAAAAAACAAAATTTCAAAAAACATATAGGATATGTAGACCATAATAAATGTTGGTGTAATTCTTGGTCAGTTCTTCTAAATGCAATATATTATTACTGAACCATATATTTCTGTTTTAAATCTGGACATATCCAAAATATGGCATAATTTGTTGCTATGTAATTATACATATGTATAATACAACACGTGCCGTTAATGCTGTTCCAGTCGACTTAACAGAAAAATGTTCATGCCTCAAAATGTTGTCCTATAACTACGAATTCGGATAGAGAATATTAATGGAAATTATACAATTATATCGAGCCATATTCGCCAAAAAAACGTAACCCTCAAATTAAAAATTTTGCAGGAGAAGGTTTGTTTGAATAAATTCAGATTTACTGAATTAGGTCTAGAATCATGTGTGCTAAGTTTCGTGAAAATCGGTTTAGATTTAGATATAGCTCCTATATAGTTTCGGCCGATTTTAGGTAAATGGTGCACCAAAGTCCCTGAAAATCTTTTGATTGACAAGAATTTTGGCATAGCGTACTAATTTAAGTCTAGAATGATGTGTACACCTCCTATATATATTTTCGTCCGGTTTTAAGTAAATTGTGCACTAAAGATCCATAGCTTGGTCGATTGACACAACGTACTGAAGTTAATTTAAATTAAACTCTTGCAGGTTTGCTTGAAATCGATAGTTTTCATGTAAAATTTCGATTTATTTATGTTAATTGTACACCAAATAATCAATGGGTGTCTGATTGAGATTAAATTTTGAACAGTGCAGCGACGTCTTTTCGGATAGTCGGCCCAGTCCGACTTTGCTACTTTCCTTACTGGTTTTATTTAGGCGCACAACGACTCGACATAGAAGGAGGATACAAAAATATTCCTCATGTCCTAAAATCTTAAAATTGGAGGTTAACGTATAGAAGGAAACAAAATATAGTTACTTTTGATAGAAATGCTGGTTAAATATATGAAAATTGTTCATTACCAAAATAAATATTTTGTATGTCCCTGCGTACGTCCCTGAACTCAACGATGGACCCTATTGAAATTGAAACGGTTTGCAAAATACAGCACCTACATTTATTATCTAGGTTTTCCGATTTGGTGTAAAATAATTGGTCTCAAATTTGATTATAATAGGTTCACATTTAGATATATATATATATATAATGTCGTACGATTTAATATATATCAAATGTAAGACAAATTCACCCTTCATCATTATGTTGACATTCATATAACCTAAAAGGAATCGGGACTTCAATATTTGGGCTAAACCATAGTAAATTTGTGTTAGGAAGACTCGACACCCAATGACAATCCAAAATACGGAATTAAAACCAATTTGGTTAAAGAATGGGTCAAGAAAAAATAAAGTTCTTGGTCAATTTTATGCCAAAATATCATCTGATCAACATCGAAAATTATAGGTGTTGTCCTTGACCATAACCCGGATCTCATGCAAAATTTCCCAGCCATCCGCGTCCTCTAGTGTGGTAATGGTAATACTAAAGTTTAAATATATTTACAGCATCCGGGTACCGACCGATATATATACTTTTCAGACAAAACATCCTAGGAGTTGTAGTATGTGTCAATTTTCAAAGCTCTATTTCAAATATGTTGAGCTCTATTGGACATGGTTAAATCAACATAGATTTTTATTCTGATTGAGAATATATAAACATATGTGGTGTTGGGTGAATATTTCGAGATGTTCCAAATTGAATAGACACTTCAGCTTATGGTGGAGGGTATAATAAGTATGACATTAAATCAAACATTGCTTTCATTATAATATCTTTTGATTTCATTTAATGGATTTTATAAATCACCCTATGTATTTCCAATTGAGGCGAAATTTTACATATCGTCATCATAAATGCAAACGGACGTAACTACACATTTACTAATTTTACAGATGAAGCAAAAAACGTTATAAAATCTATAAAAATGGAGCATTGCTCGAAATTCATAGTTTAACCGCACTATATATCCGTATTTATTTTACGTCCTTTGTAAAGGTTTTATGTCATTTTGACTTCATATTTTCTGAAACAAAAGGACGTAACTACAATACAATTGTAGTACAACAAAGTGACTAATAATTATCCGATTGAGACTAAAATTTGTACAGCGTACCAAATTGAGTCCAAATTGAAATGGGTTCAGATTTAGACATAGCTCCCACACATATTTCCGTCAGAGTTTGTGTAAATGGTGCATTAAAGCCCCTATATTTCTTTTTATTTGCACGAAATTTTGCATAGCGTACTCAATTGAGTCTAGAGTGATGTGAGTGAAGTTTCGTGAAAATCGGTTCAGATTTCCATATAGCTCCCATATACAGTTTCGACCGATTTTATGTAAATATTGCACTAAAGACATTCAATATTTCTCTGTTAGCGAGTGCACAATTTACTTAAAATCGGGCGAAACTATATATGGGAGCTATATCTAAATCTAAACCGATTTACACGAAACTTAGCACACATCATTCTAGACTTAATTCAATACGTTATGCGAAAATTCGTGCAAATCAAAAATCAGGGACTTTGGTGCACCATTTACCTAAAATCGGCCGAAACTATATATGGGAGCTATATCTTAATCTGAACCGATTTTCACGAAACCTAGCACACATCATTCTAGGCCCAATTCAGTAGGCTATACCAAATTTCATGCAAATCGAAAGATATATAGGGACTTTGGTACACCATTTGCCTTAAATCGGACGAATATATATGGGAGCTATATCTATATCTGGTCCGATTTTTTCCAATTTCAATAGGGTTCGTCCTTGGGCCAAATAAGTGAGCTGGGCCAAATTTCATCCAAATCGGATCATAAATGCGACCTGTACTTTGTTTACAATTTAACATCAACAGACGGACGGACATGCATAAATCGACTCAGAAAGTGATTCTATGCATATTCTCAAAAGGAACCATGGGTCTATCTCAATTCTTTTTGCCTGTTACACACATATGCACAAAGACATAATATACCTGTACCACATACCCTGTACCACAGTGTGGTGAAGGGTATAAAAACATACTATTGTAGTTACGTCAGTTTGAATTTATTTAATTAGATCGCTGTTTTTGACGTTAAATGTCTAAATTTTTGGGTGAACATGTAGTTTGATTAGAAAACAATAATCAAACAATTCAATTCAATTTTGAATTTTTCTGTAGTTACGTCCGTTTGGTCTTATGATGACCCAGAAAAACCAATGATATTTTCGTGATCCAGGGACTCCAACTAAACAGAATTTGTACATTAGAACCCCACAGTGTTATTATAAAAATTTAAATGTTCAGTCATTGATATTTTTCCTCTATAACGAACTAATTTCATTGGCCCCTACAAGTTTGCTATAACCGTACTTGACAGCCTATATGGCTTAATATGCGTTGCAATACGATTTATAGAGCACTACTTGTATATACCCTTCCTTTGCTGGACCAATGTTTGGAAATTTGTATGGAGTCTCGAACATTGATTTTCGCAAATTTTATACAAAACCATTTTAATTACCATATTCGTAATTCATGTTGTCCAATTGTATGCTCTAATGTACTTGATTTTTGTAAGTATATTATGAATGACAATAAAATGCTTGGATTTCCTTTATGTATACGTGTGCGAAAAGTTCTCAAGTTTGAAAATCGGCACATTATTGTTATGTGTAATTTCCGAATTTCAAGTAATCAATTCTATATAAAAAAAATCCACACATTGAAATTGTTTCCAGTTTTAAATAGTTTAAAGCATAAAAATAAAATAATAATGCAACACAATTATAGATAATACTTTGTTTATAATTTATTTGTTCTTTTCTACATTTTTGGAAATTATTTACACAAAGGTTCAGTGTAAGAGAAATAAAATGGTAAAATTAATCAACAAATTCGATAATGATGATGACTTATCCGAATGATGGATTTATGATAAAGTGATCATTTTGTTTGTTTGTTTGCTTCTAGCGATGAGAGTTCGTTCGTATAATAAATTATGAAAATGAAAAGAAAAATGTGCGAAAGAGTGTTTTTGTTTCTAGGGAGGGGAGATTGGTTTTGGTTTTTCTTTGGAGGGAATTGAAATCGTTTAATAATGGGTTTCGGTAATCTTCACTTTGCCAAACTTGCCATGCAAATGATGTTTAGCCAGGGCCAAAATATCAGAATGGGTGTGGTGAGATGGGTACACTTTGTGGACGATGGCCTTGTGGTGGTGCACAACTGGAGCATGGTGGACCAAAGCGGCGTGGTGATGAACATCATGTCCGTGGTGGACGACGTGGTGAGCATCAGCATGATGAACAACAGCAGCATGATGGTGAACATCACCGTGGTGGACAACAGCAGCATGATGATGGGCATCGGCGTGATGGACCAAACCGGAATGATGGTAGGCACCAGCATGATGAACATCACCGTGATGCAACAAATCACCATGGTGGGCAGCATCGCCATGATGCAATTCGGTGTGATGCAAATCGGCAGCATGATGATGTTCATCGACATGATGATTTTGGTGGACAACATGATGATCGACAGCTGGCTTGGTGTAATGCAGGAAATGATGAGGTTCATGATGTACCACCTTGGTGACATGATGGACTGGTTCTACTTTGTGAATGGGTTCATGATGGATAATCTTGGCAGCAGGGGCGTTGTGTACTTCAATATCGGAAACACCATGATGACCAGCATCATGATGAACAACATCGACGGCAGCATGATGTTCGGTATGATGATACACTGGATGATGATCAGCACCATGATGATCATCCACTACTACCTGAGCTGAGTGACCAATGTGGATGCCATCGCTGTGATGAATATCGGAATGATGGAAATCATCGCCATGATGAACAACACCATGATCGATAACATGGGCATCATGTCCAATATGAGGCAGGAGACCAGCTTGGGCTGTGGCAGCCAAGGCAAGGGCAACAACACATGAGAAGACCTACATTGAAAACATTTTTAAAAGTAGAGCAAAAATTTAGAATTAGATATATATGCTTAGTAAGTTACAAAATAATGTTTTTCTATAAGGTAGACAACAAGTGATAAACTAAAAAGAATCGTTAAAGAACTGAATATTTTAACAAAACCATATTTTTCGGATTTCGAAGAGAGAAATCTCATTTTATGATAGGACCTTGAAATTCTCTAAATATCTAATAGTGGGGCTGCCGTTATATGGGGCGATAATAAAACGGAGATCAATATTGATATTTTTGGTAGTGAGATTTGACAGCCAATGAGACTATCTCCACAATAAGCGTGGATTTTTTGAATATACTTTTTTCAATGACTATCCCAACAATAAGTGTGGATTTTTTAAAAAGAATTTTTATTTAATAATCTTGGGTTTTTGAATAGATTTTTTAGGACTAAAACCACAATATGCGTGGATTTTTTAAATAGAATTTTTTTAGGACTATCAAGCATGGATTTTTTAAATAGAAAATTTCAAGAACTATAACCACAAAAAAACTTGACTTTTTTAAATGGAATTTTTCAAGAACTGTAAACAGAATTAACGTAGATTTTTTTAATAGATTTTTTTTCAAGGACTTTATCTTCAACAAGCGTGGATTTTTAGACCGAGTTTTTTCAAGGACTTTATCCCCAACAAGCGTGGATTTTTTAGACAGAGTTTTTTCAAGGACTTTATCCCCAATAAGCGTCAATTTTTTCAACGGTTTTATCCCCTATAAGCCTGGATTTTTTAAATAGGATTTTTCCAAGGACTATCAAACATGGATTTTTCAAATAAAGGACTATGAAGCCTGGATTTTGTAAATATAATTTTTTCAAAGACTATGAAGCTTGGATTTTTTAAATAGAATTTTTGTCAAGAACTATCAGTCGTGGATTTTTTATAGCATTTTTTCCAAGGACTATCAGTCGTGGATTTTTTAATAGAATTATTCCAAGGACTATCACGCTTGAATTTCTTAAACACAATTTTTCCAAGGACCAATTCGGTTAAAAAAAATTGTGTCTAAAATTCCCAAAATACCGACTTGAGTCAATATAAATCATTTTAGTGCGAAGATGTGGGGAAACCGTTATGACAACTCAAAATTCTGAATTATGCCAAGTTATGCTAACCGTGTTCAAAAGCCCCAAAATAAGGAATACTGAGGGGTACCGTTATATGGGGGCTACCCTGACACATAGGTCAATGATAAAACAGAATACCAAATTACAGCCAATTCGGTTGAAAACGTGTCCAAAATATACAAAAATACCGAGTATTGGGGAGTACCGTTATAAGAGGGCTATCCTAAAACTTGGTCAATATTATTAATTTTTGGTACGGAGAGTTGATATAGAATGCGAACCCAAAATACCAAATTACTGTAAATTCGGTGGAAAAGCGTGCCCAACATCCCCAAAAACCCCTGGATATTAGGGGTAGCGTTATATAGGGCTACCCTAAAACGTGTGTCAATATTAATAATTTTTTGTACGGAGATGTGTTATAAAATGAGCACCCAAAATCCCATTTGCAATACTAAACATCATGGGAGTAATAGCATTGTCCGTGCACATTTTCCAAGCTCTATCTTAAATATCGCGATCTCTATCGTGATTTGAACAGACGGACTTGCGTTAATCGATATATAATTTTACCCTGATAAAAAAAAATATATATTTTATGGGCTCTCCGGAAATTTTCTACAAATATGTTTTTTTTAAATTTCCAAGATCAATCCTAAATATTACGATCTCCATAGTGAATTCAACAAATGGTCTGAGATGGCTGAATCGGCATTGAATTTTGTTCTGCAGAGTCACTCTGCGGACAACGTAATTCTTTTAGATGCCCGATCACTAAGGTCCAGAAGTAGCATCTGCAGTCATTCCGCATTATTTATTATACCGTTGGTGGCATTTCAACCAATGGAATTGAACTGGCGAATGATTGTAACTGATAAGACCTTTATTTTGTGTTTTATTTTCGAATCACTCAATAGACCACACACGAAATTTTACACATCGAAAGGAACCGTATCAACGAAAAATGTCTGTTTTGATGATGATCGGCGAGTATTTTGCGGGTCAAATAGACAACAATTACAAAATTGCATTATATGACATATGTGTTAACTCTGGGAAATTTCCGCGAATTCTGTAATCCTTTTCGCGATCCAAATAAAATATTGTCATCTGATGATTAAATTTAAATATGCATGTTTTCACATTTCGTAGTTGCATTAACCGTTGCTTGCATACCTTCATTATTACGATTTCACACTTAAGATTTTTAATCCCAAATTAAAAAATCACAAATTAACTTTGAACGAACTCTTTTTCTTCGGCTTTCACGTTTAGTACTAAACTGAATAGTTGACCAGAAACACCTTCGCATTTATATACCAATGAAAAAAATAATCGCTTCTTCTTTGGCCAATTTCTTAGCGGGCAGAACAGCTGATTTGTTTGGTTGGTTACTTAGTTAGTTAGTTGTAAGCAATAAACTGAACAGCAATACCAACAACAACAAAAAATACTACAAATGGCAATTGTGTAAAATATGCATTGCAATGAAATTGAAATTACAATGAAAGTGATATAAACTTACGCATCGATTATGTGACCGGCATAATTAATCACCGGGTTAAAACACGACTCAAAAAAAAAAAAAAAAACGTTACGTTTTAAACAACAAACGAAATACCAATATTGCGAATAGCGGTGGGCACGTCTAGTTTATTGGTCATTGTTGGCCACGGTAGCGGCTAACGTCATTAAAGAAAGCCAAGACAAATTTATTAATTGTCGCCAGCCAGTTAGCTAGCCGGCGATACGCCAGAAATGTCAATAAACTTTTTTGGGTAAATACCATCGGTATTGCCTAATACCGGATTATGCAGTTTAGTTAGTAGCTCGTTTGATAGTCAGTTTACACCTGAAGGTTAGCACTTCCACCAAATTGACAAATAAAAAAAAAACGAAAACCAAACAATTGTATTTTGACCTTACCTCATTGACTTGGCGATTTAGGTCACACACATATTCGGGGAACAACTTGTTCACCTTGACACGAGGTGTCATATCCCAAAGAAACCCGAAAAAATGGTGATCCCGGCCCAAGTTCCTTCGTTGGGTTCAACCTTTGTACGTGATTGTTGTTTTTGTACTTTTGACAAAACCAAACACGCATGACATAAATCACGATTTGATAATAAAATAAATTGTGACTAGAATTTAATTTTGAGATTACGATTTGCTTAATTTCCGTTAACAAATTGCACACACAAAGAGTTGGAATATGACAGCAAATAATTTAATGTTTGATTGCCAGCCAGTCAGCTGTTGACAGTTAATTTTATAGTACTGAGTTATGTAATTTGATAGGCCATTACAATGTAATGGGTAAATCTATGTATTGTAGCGGTAGGTACATCAAAGAAATAATTGGCAAGGTCATTTGGCAAACTAAAGCATATTAATATCAACGAATTTCTATGATTTTTGGGGCTCAAATTAAATATTATATTTTATCAATCGTGAGACATAGCTGGAGTAAGTACCTATCCTGAAACAGAACATATACGTATACTTCTCACAAACAGAAATATATTATACATTTTGGTTTTTAAGTGTTCAAGAGTTGAAAGAAGGTATTTTGTGTGGCTCCATTAAAAGTCTAATGCTGTCAAATCGCATGATATTGGTGGCAAGTTGATATAGCCACGACAAGAAATTACGCGGCCAGGAAATGACTCATGTAGTATTCGCTTGAGTTGTGTGGCATCGTCTTGTTGAAATCACATATTGTCCAAGTCGTATTCTTCAGTAGAAGGCAGAAAGACGGGTTTTTAAATTACCATAGTGAACCTATCCCAACAATGTTTTCCAATGATATCATGGAATCCATAAATACTAAATAATCCTAAAACTTTCACCGTAGGATATTGGATTATTCCATAAGATTATTCCGTCACGATTTCCGATGTAATGAAAATAGGCAAGATCATAATGTATGAGATATACAAAATATATTGTCTTTCAGAATATTTAGATGAGAAATGTTCCTAAAATCTCAAAACCCCAAAACGTCGACCGATATTTACAACGTATGGTGGTGTGTCTAAAATATGGACTAATCTTGATTACATATGGTATTAATATTTGGGATGACACTAAACATAACTGAAATACCTTATTTTCGAACCTGATTTTTAGCTCTGAATCATTAGAACTTCCCAATTCACCTCTCTGTGGTTCAGGGTATTCCGTCTTTGTGCATATGTTTGAGACAGGCAAATGGAAATGAGATAAACACATGGTTCATTTCAGAATATGCATAGAATCACTTTCTGAGTCGATTTATGCATGTCCGTCTATCTGTCTGTCCGTCCATGTATTTTTGTGAATAAAGTACAGGTCGCATTTATGGTCCGATTTGGATGAAATTTGGCACATGTCACTTATTTGACCCAAGGATGAACACTGTTGAAATTGAAATCGGTTCGGATTTAGATATAGCTCCCATATATGATTTCGTCCGATTTAAGGTAAATGGGGTACTAACGTCCTTTTATATCTTTCGATTTGCACGAAATTTGGCATAGAATGGTGTGTGCTATGTTTCGTGAAAATCGGTTAAGATATAGGTATAGCTCCAATATATATTTTCGTCCGATTTTATGTAATTGGCGCACCAAAGTCTCTATATAACTTTCGATTTGCACGAAATTTGGCATAGCGTACTGAATTAAGTCTAGAATGAGTCGTGTCAAGTTTCGATAAAATCGGTTCAGATTTAGATATAGCTCCCATATATATTTTCGTCCGAATTTAGGTAAGTAGTGCACCAAAGTCCCTTTATAGCCTTCGATTTGCACGAAATTTGGCATAGCGTAATGAATTAAGTCTAGAATGATTAGTAGTAAGTTTCGTGAAAATCGGTTCAGATTTAGATATAGATCCCATATATTTTCGTCCGATTTAAGGTAAATGGTTCTTATATATCCTTCGAAAGTTGGCATAGCGTACTGAATTAAGTCTAGAAAGATGTGTGTCAAGATTCATGAAAATCGGTTCAGATTTAGATATACCTCCCATATATATTTTCGTCCGATTTTAGGTAAATAGTGCACCAAAGTACCTTTATATCCTTCGATTTGCACGAAATTTGGCATAGCGTAATGAATTAAGTCTAAAATGATTAGTAGTAAGTTTCGTGAAAATCGGTTCAGATTGAGATATAGCTCCCATATATATTTTCGTTCGATTTTGTGTAAATAGTGCACCAAAGTCCCTATATATCCTTCGATTTGCACGAAATTTGGCATAACGTACTGAATTAAGTCAAGAACGATGTGTGTTTAATTTCGTGAAAATCGGTTCAGGTTTAGATATAGCTCCCATATATATCTTCGTCTGATTTTAGGTAAATAGTGCACCAAAGTCCCTATATATCCTTCGATTTGCACGAAATTTGGCATAACGTACTGGATTAAGTCTAGAACGATGTGTGTAAAATTTCGTGAAAATCGGTTCAGAGTTAGATATAGCTCTCACATATATTTTCGTCCGATTTTAGGTAAATAGTGCACCAAAGTCCCTATATACCCTTCGATTCGCACGAAATTTGGCATAGCGTACTGCATTAAGTCAAGAACGATGTGTGTTTAATTTCGTGAAAATCGGTTCAGGTTTAGATATAGCTGCCATATATATCTTCGTCCCATTTTATATAAATGGTGCACCAAAGTCCCTATATATCCTTGGATTTGTACGAAAATTGGCATAGCGCATTGAATTGAGTCTAGAATGATGTGTGGTAAGTTTCGGAATAATCGGTTCAGATTTTCGATATAACTCCCACATATACATATATATTCATCGGATCTTACCTAAATGGTGCTCCAAACTCCTAATGTTTGTCCGATTAACACAAAATTTTGCACAACGTATCAAATTGAGACTTGAATGAGGTTATTGCGTTTTGTTGAATGAGGTTATTGCGTTTTGTTGAATGAGGTTATGGCGTTTTGTTGAAATTGTTGCATAGATTCCAAATGTATTTCGAACGTACCCAATAGCGTGCATCAGTTTTGCAATAAATCGTTTTTAATAAATTTGTTCCATGATACGCAGACGACTATAAATCTGCCCAAATTAAATTAAATTTATCATAGGTTGTAGAAAGACATGAATATGTTCCTTAGATTGGCTTGCAATTGTAAGGATACATATGTACAATATACCCAAAGTGGTGAAGGGTATCATATAGTCGGCCAGGTCCGACTTTACTTCTTTTCTTAATTTGGAATGTCCTTTTACTTTTAAATATTGTAAAAATAGTGTACGTTCTGCATAGTTTATAGTACTTGTTGGAACAATGAAACATTTTTCCTGTAAAATTTTCAAGATAATGTTAATATATAACAAGTGAAAAAGCGTTAAGTTCGGCCGGGCCGAACTTTGGATACCCTCCACCATAGATATACTAAAAGGTAGTTGAAATGAAAATGTAGGGAAAATACCAAAACCATAATGTGAACCATGTTTCAGAAAATATTGATTTCATCCAACCTGTGCCTATCTTATTATTCTTCCAAACTTAGTTCAGGTTCGAAAATGTGGACTATCGGTCCACTCCCTCTGATACCTCTCACACAGGTGCTAGGCCTAAATGCGGGTTATAGTTCATGTATAGTTCATTATCGAACCTTACGTTCTAACTTAATCTCGATATCCTCCGCAGGTTAAATGATTACGGCAGACTCTTAGAACCAAACCCAAAACGCGGAACAAATTTGATAACTATTTTAATATAAAAAGGGGGTTATATGGGGACTACGCCAAAAAGGGGGCTCCAATAATTTTGGTAGGGAGATTTGTTACCATATACGACTACAAAATACCAAATTGCAGCGAATTCGGTTGAAAAACGCGCTCAAAAACCCCAAAATTCCGAATATTGGGGGTACCCTTATATGGCGGCTACCCGAAAAAATGGACCTATATTCATAATTTTTTGTGGAGAAATTTGGTACCTATTTAGAACTCAAAATACTAAATTACAGCCTATTCGGTGGAAAAATACGATCAAAACCCCCAAAGTACTGAAAATTAGAAGGTGCCTTTATATGGGGGCTACCAGAAAAAGTGGACCTATACTCATAATTTTTTGTGGAGACACTTAGTACCCAATAAGAACCCAACGTATCAAATTTCAGCGAATTCAGTTGAAAAACTCGGTCAAGAACCCCAAAATACCGAAAATTGGGGGGGACCCTTATATGGGAGCTATGCCTAAACGTGGATCGATATATCCCATCTTCGAACTTGACCTGCCTGC